ACACTCAGAGTGAAGTGAGGCAGTAAATGTAGTAGGGTATGACAACATAAAATTCCTTCTGCAGTGACAGGACTGTGGGCCTTTAATTGCTATGCATGTCTGTTAATTAAACTTTTTAGCTTCTGCTCTTCTGCTGTTTGAATTGATGCTCTTATGGATCTTGGTACCCATTATGTAACTTTTGGCTTTTTGAGTAGTTGGTTAACAGCACTGAGTGTGTTTGCTACATTGTTTGAGTATAAATTTGGTGGAATTTTGGACTTTATCATAGGAAAAGTGTTGTAAGGGGAGGTAGAATTATCTGGCAGGTCAAAAGTAGAGGAGAAAGGAGCAAAAAAAAAGTTGCTATAAGACATTGATTGCATCAGTGGTATAGAGAGGATTTGAAAGTGATTTTAAGATTTGCAATTCTTCCTTGTGTAGGATTGCCTCTAAGCAATCTTGTTTTAAATGTACTCTATTTTCCTCTTGAAGTTCCTTAGTAGAGAGCCATTTAGTTGGAAAAGAACAACTAAAGTAGAGCTCATATAGAAGGGAAGGGCAATATTAGAGGAAGAAAGAAAGGCCCGTATATGGGGGGCAGAGTCTGAGCTAAAGGACAGACATGCATCTAGTTGTGCTTGGCCACCAACTTACAATAGAGGTTCGGTTAACCTTCTAGGCTAATAAAATGAGGGGATTGGACTAGCTCTTGAATGTATCATTCTTTGCTTATGAGATTGAGTATTGGGTATGTTGAGTAAGAAAAATGATTAGAGATCCTCTTCCTGTGTGAGGAAAGCGAAGAAACTGACTGCAGTGAATGGGACCTTGGAAAACTAGAACAACTTGGCATATTTTCGTTTATGTAGAAAGAGGAAAAGAAGGGCAATTGTGCCATTTTAGAAAAGGAGGCAAGCTTTGGAGGGAGCATTTGAGAGACACTTGTGTGGGGAGAAAACTGGGGTAGAAGGTAGAAGAAAAGGGGCACATGCTCATTTAATACAAACCAGGTTTGTCTGGTTTACACGGCCCTGTTTTTGCTGCTTACTACAACTTGCCCTGCATGTGCCAGTGCATGAGTGTTATCAAAGTCTGCTGTTATCCACAGATGCAACTTGAACACACATGGTGGTTTTTGGTGGCTTGCTAGTATCTGCAATCTGATTTGAATGCATAGAACCAACATTTTTATTCTCCTTCTTTAAATTTGTGATATTAAAATACATGGAAATTTGTATGTTGAATGCATTTCAGGTTAGAAATATTTCACATGCTCGAAGTGTTTTACTTATTAAGGAGCCCTGGTGGTGTAGTGGTTAAGCGCTAGAAAGGTCAGTGATATGAACCCACCAGCTGGTTCTCAGGAGAAAGATGTGACAGTCTGCTTCCATAAAGATTACAGCCTTGGAAACTGTGTAGGGCAGTTCTGCCCTGCCATGTAGGGTTGTTAGGGGTTGGAATTAACTGCAAGGAGAAGTGTTTTATTATTCAATATTCTGAAAGTTTGGGCACATGCCCTCAGGCTCTGGTCCAGTAGTAGAAGGAATATAAAGTTTCTCTCTTTTTAACAAAGCAGCACAGATTAGCTCATTCCCACTTGGCAGCTGCTATTAGCATCAGTCAGTGTAGAAGTCTTTTAGCTGTTAGGAAGGGCAGTTGAAGGCAACCTGGGATTTCAGAGGACTTCTGGGAGAGCACCCTCTCTTCCCAGTCCCTTTGTTTGAGACTTCCTAAACTGTGATTATCTGAGGTTCAGAAAATAGAGGCTGCAGGGGGGAGGGGGGACAGGGAGGTCAGAGGCACTTGGCCAGCTGAGGAAGTCAGGAAACAGGTCTAGGAATAGATTTTTAATTGGCAAAATTTTTGAAAATTAGGATTAGAACTCAGACTGATTAATTGCTAGTCTGGCAATCTCCTTTTTTGGAGAGAGTTACAAGGGGAACATTAAACAAAAGATAAATATGAGACTGGCCTGAGAACAGTTCAGTGTCACCTTCTAAATCTCTGTATTCGTCTTTCATAGTTTATCCCTGCTGATACATTACTTTTTTTCCCCTCTTCTTAGATGTACAGGTTTTGAAAGAATTTTTAGCTGCATCAGCTGAAGTTTCTCACAGCACTTTGGTGCTAAGTAAATACTTAATTTAAACCAAAACAGAGGTCCCCAAACTCCTTTTTTTTCCTCAGAACACAGGCAAGATCGCTTAGTCTTTCTCTTACTCCCAGTCCTGTACAATTGTAGGGGAATTCTGTAGATTATAGATTTAGGAGCTAGAAGACTTTAGTCTGGAGGTAGAAACTGCTGGCCATTTATCTGAGTAATATTGTTTTGCTTGCTTCTCTTCTTTAATCCCTGCCCCAGTTTCTGTTTCTTTGTCCGAGACTTGCAGCATCACCGGGCTTCTTTTTGATCCCTGCATCCCTTGTTCAGGTAGTTCTCTGCTGACTCAGGCGGTTGCGTGGTGAGACAGGGATTGCAGGAAGTCTGTTCCTGAAATTAGCTCAGCTGACACTGAGAGTCACCTTGTTGTTTTTGTCTGTGTTGGAGGAGACTGCTTCCTCCTTCTCAAGCTAAACAGAAATTGTTGAAAAGCTCCTTGCAATTCCCAGAGCCACATTTTGCCTAGGCTTGATAGAGTATAAGAGGCAAGTGGTCTACCCCTCTTCCAAGGAAGTGGGAGCATCCACTGTTGTTTGCTCAGGCTCTCTTTTGAACATTTGGAAATAGCTTTTTGAAGCCAGGGTTTGAGACAGGTGAGCTGAGAAACAGAGGGAGGATATTGGTGTCACACAGAAGATTTTTTTATTCCATTCGATGCTTTGCCTTCTATCCATCTCCCTCCTCTAGACCCTCTCTACTGTTTTACATAATTTGCACTGTGTTCCAGAGTCTGCTGACCAGAGTGGCAGGGAAGAAACCCTTCTAGCTTTTCATACCTCAAACACTACTTTTTAAACAGGGCTCCTCAACTGGTTTTTTGAATGAAGTCAAATCTAGCCAGCTATAGGGATCGTTGACCACTGTTGTGTCCTGCTCCTTCCTGAGGTCTGTGGGTCTGTTCTATTGACCGGCAGCTGTTTGTTCAGTCTTCTTTTCTGTGTAACTCACAGGCAATTTAGCTAGACCTTTAGCTTCTTTCAAGGGGCTCTATTTGTTGACACTAAACCACTCAGTCATTTGGGGCAAGAAGCAGGTGTAGTTCCACTTATGCTCTGATCTGTAGTTCTTTTCTGTAAGCAGCCAGGGTTACCATTCTGGTTCCCTTCAACTTTTGTGTCAGTGCAAATGACAGCCGGCTATGGCATTTGCAGCAGTGTTTAGAGAGATGGGCTTGTGCATCTAATATCTGAGATAATAGTTCCCTTTTCTCCCAGAGGCCATGCCTCTTCTTTCTTTGTTGTCTTCATGCCATGACATGACTGAGGTCTGTGATTGGGGGATAGAGAAAGGGAAGTCCCAATTCACTCAGTAGTAAATTACTTTAGTACTGTTGATCCAGGCAAATTTGCAGTTCTATTTGCTTCTTTCCCTTATAGAGCTTTCTCATCAGTCTTGTTGGACACATTGAAGAACTGCAGGGTCAATGCCTTTTTGACTGAGGAGACTTTATCTTTTCCAATTGCAGGTTCCTTTACAGCTTATAGAAAGTGTTGAATGCAGAGATATATTTCAACTTCATTTGACTTGTAAAGACTGCAAAGTTATCAGGTATGTGGTATATATGTGCTGCTGCTTGTATGGAAAAGATTTTTTTAAAGAATAAAAACATGGTTTGGTAACTTAGTAAAACAGCTTTTGAATGTCAGCCTCATTAGGAATATATTCTGAATAATTAGTGCCTGAAATATTTTATCCTAGGACACTTTGCTGTGTTGAAAGGTATTTCTTAACTTTTTATTTGGAAATAATTTCAAATTTATAAAAACAAAAAACTAAACAAAACAACAACAACAACAAAAACAGTATACTGTTGATACAAATTTGTGGATAACATTTTACCCTATTTGCTTTATCATTTGTTGGGGCTTTGCATGTGTGTATTTGTTTTTCTGAATGATTTAAAGCTAAGTGACATAATCATGGCTGTTCATGCCTAAATATTTCAGTATGCATTTCCTAAGAATAGGGATATATTCTTATATGATCACAGTATCATTATCACCTTCACAGTTTCCCACTTGATGATAGTAATTTTATCCAATCCATGTTTCAATTTTGTCAGTTGACCTAATAATGTTTTTTATTGCATCCCATTTATCTTCCTACCTCATTCAGCGCAAGATCCAGTCTTGGTCATATACTGCACTGAGTTGCCATGACTCCTTAGCTTCTCTTAATCTGGGATATTCTTATAGCCTTTTTCTGTCTTTTATAACATTGACATTCTTGAAGAATACAACCCTTCTCTCTGCCCCTTTGTTTTAATGCAGTGTTTATTATTTTGTGTTTGTCTAATGTTTCTTCATGATTAAATTGTGGTTATGCATTCTCAGCTGGAATACTGTGTATATGATATGTCTTTTTCAGTGTATTATATTACTTCTGGAGGCAAAGAATTCCCATCTGCCCCTCATTGGTGATGTTCATTTTATTTATTTATTTATTTATTTATTTTAAGAGCTTGTTTTACATTCAGAGTCATGTGTACATTTAGTTTCATTCCCTATTTGCCATGTCCAACCCCAACCCAGTCTCCTCCCCTCCGTACCCTGCAACACTCCTCCTGTGCCCCTCATAATTATGCACTCCTGTTTGTCCTGCATTTCCTCAGTTTGAATGTCGGTCCTTTGGTGTCCCATGTCTGTTGCTTTAAGGGATGTATTACCATTGAGTGTGTGGGTGCGGCATCCTGGGTTGAGTGGTCTGCCGTACATCTTGTTAACTATTGGGCTGAGAGCCCACCCCAGGGGTGAGTTTAATTTCAGGAGCCGAATGTATTTCAGGGCCATAATATTGGGATTCTCACCAGACTTCATCTGACCAGTAATTCTGGTCATTATTGAATTTTTGGATTTTATTCCACGTTTTCCCTCCCACTCTATCCAGGATCTCCAGATTTGATCCTTTCCTGGTGATGTTCATTTAAATCACTCTGTCAAGGTGTCACTCGATTTCTGTGTAATTTCTATATTTTTCTCCCTTGCAACTAGAAGCGGTCTATGTTGTTGTTGTTGTTGTTATGTGCCGTCGAGTCAGACCTGACTCATAGCGACCCCTCCTTGGGTTTCCAGGGCAGTATCACTGCGGAAGTAGATTGCCCCATCTTCCTTCCGAGGAGTGGCTGGTGGGTTTGAACCGCCAGTCTCCTGGTTAGCAGTCAAGTGCCTTAGCCACTATGCTACCAGAGAAGCGGTCTATAGGAGGCACTTTAAGATAATGCAGATGCTCTATTTTTTATCAAAATTTCCTCCTAGATTTAGCATCTATTGATAATCTTTATTGAGCTAGTCTTTAATAGTTGTAAGATGATGACTGAAGTTCGTTTTTAAATTTAGTAGCTCTGTTTACTTTGTTCCTGGACTTGTTCTGGGATGTCAGGAAACATAGTGTATGAGCATGTTGAAAAGCCACATTGATTGAAGTGAGAGAGAATTTTAAGTGACCTCTTAAACGTTTTTTGTTTTTTTTTTATTATTAGGATTTGGGTGAAGATTTACAGAGTAAATTCACTTTTCATACAGCAGTTCACATATACTTTGTCTCATGTCATTGACCAAAATTTACAATGCAGCAACTCCCTCCCACTTCCTCCCCATAGTTACCTCCTCCCAGTGTCCATCCCTTCATACTCTTCTGCACCCTGAGCTATCTCCCTGTGCATAAGCAGCCCTTCCTTCTCCCATGATTGTTCTCTCCAGGGCGTGTGTCTACTTGAGGTAAATGTTTAACTCACATGCCTGTACCTCTTAAACGTTTTTAACGTAAATATTTAAGTTGCTTTTTAGCCGTTGAGATTTGGCTTGCTTTTAATAGATAGCTACAACTCACAGTTTAAAAATCCTCGTTGTTAATGACTTAGTTTTTTAACACTTTTCTGCATTTATATAGATAAATAAAATATTTAAACAAATCCTCTGGTAAATCATTTTACACTAACTGTTTTAACCCCTTAGTTGTATGTACTGAAAATTAAAATTGGTATGGATCTATGTTCTCTAGGCGTTCACAACTGAAACTTTCAATATAATGTATCTTATTTTGGATCTAAAGTTGTTTATTTGTTCTAATTGCTTAATAGACAAAATTTGAAATTATTCCCTAATTGGCCAAAAACAGTGCTGTGTTTCGTTTTCAGCTCAGCCTGATGGAGCACCACAATACAGAAAACCACCCCCTAAATGTATTTCTTGAGGAACATTCATGAGGTGATGATAGAAAGAGTAGAATTAAATTCTATCCATGAAAGAGAAGTATGGTCATTTTCTAATTCTTTCTTATGGTGGTAAAATATATATAAAAACGGTTGCTGTTTTAAATTCAGTAATTGTCATTAATCAATCTCAGAAGAGATTTCATTAGTTTATAAAAAATAGATTTTCCACATGTGCATCTTCTTTTTGACAGTTTACACTCTTGGGTAAAATTTGATGAAGTTGCTTTTTTGGTGATGAGTGTGTGACTGCCTCTGCTGCCTTCTCAACTGTAGTTGCCACTTCAGTATGAGTAGGCACTCTTGAAATGGTGTCTTAGATTCATTGTTGACTGTCTTCTGATTGACATTTATTCTTGTTTGGCTTTACAAAGGTGTCAGTTCTCAACCTTTGAGCAGTGTCAAGAGTGGCTTAAGCGACTGAACAATGCAATCCGACCACCTTCTAAAATAGAAGATCTCTTCTCATTTGCATACCACGCTTGGTGCATGGAGGTCTATGCTAGTGAAAAGGAGCAACATGGAGACCTGTGCAGACCAGGTAGGTTTTCCAAAAATGTGCAGCTGGGGGCTTGATTGAGCTAGTATTTGAGATACCTTTAACATGAAGTGGGACTGCTAAGCATTCATGGATTCACTTAGTGTGTACTTTATGTATGTATATTTTTTATGGAGCAGCTAGCAGTGCCACCTCTCTTTTAAACTCAATAGAACATGTCTCCTCCCTTTCAGAGGAAGGGAAGTACAGTAGATTTGGTATCATAATCTAGTGGGGCCTTAAAATAACTGTAATAAGGTTTGATGGGTGCTAGGGAAGCCTCAGAGCAGAAACAAAAGTAGAAATTCTAGTGTTGCAGTGGTTAAGGCTCTTGGCTCCTAACCAAAAGGTTGGTGGTTCAAACCCACCAGCTGCTGCAAGGATGAGGCAGTCTGCTTTCGTAAAGATTTACATCCTTGGAAACCCTATGAGGCAGTTCTGTTCTGTCCTATAGGGTCACTGTCAATCGCATTTGACTTATTAGCAGTGGGTTAGGTTAGGAAGCCTAGCATTCCCTAGGTAGTGCAAATCATTAATGCTTTGGGCTCTTGACTGAAAGATTGGAGGTTGGGGTTCACCCAGAGGGACCTCAGAAGAAAGGCCTAGTGATCTACTTCTGAAAAGTCAGCTATTGGAATCCCTGTGGAGCACAGTTCTGCTCTGACATGGTGGGGTCTCCTTGACATCAACTGGTTTTATTGCTGTAGGAGCCTAATGGGAGGGAGCCATGAGTTTTGTATATGCATTTGAGAAGACTTTACACAGAAGTAGCTTTGAGTAAGTGTTGAAGGTTAAATAGGAGTTCACTGGTTAGGAAGAAAAAAAAAACTCACTGCCGTTGAGTTGGATCCAACTCACAGTGACCCCTCCCTGGGTTTCCAAGGGAGTATCTCTGCAGAAGTAGATTGCCCAGTCGTCCTTCCTCGGAGTGGCTAGTGGTTTTGAACCGCCAGCCTTCTAGTTAACAGTCAAATGCCTTAAGCACTATACCACCAGAGTGCCTCATTGGTTAGAGAACAGTGAAAATGTATCTTCACAGGGTGAGTAGCATGAACAAAGATACAGAGATATGATCTTTTGCTGTCTTGGCATTTTCAAGTCTAGATTACCTGTTACCACCCTCTTTCCCCATAGATGAAGAAACAAAGACCCAGAAAGGCCAGGTAGCTTCCTCAAGGATAAATAGAAAAGCTGAGCCTGTTATGGAACCCAGGCTTCCTGAGTCCTCATGTAGTCTGTGTGTCACACACAGTCTTTCTCCCTCAGAAATGTCTTTGACCATTTGATGTTATTTCTCTTCATGTAGTTTGCCTGTAAACTTCATGCTGCTTTAAATAGAACTTTAGAACTTTGCTAGTTTAGCACGAATTCTCTAGTGTGTCAGACTTGGAAGCTAAGTCTTGAATTCCTAGGTGGTGAAAAGGGATAAGCCAGTGAAATTTACTCTGGAACCGTTTTTTCTTTAGACCTGGGTTTTAATGCTGAATCTTTGATCTTTCAAATCTGCCCTGGACCAGTTTAAACATTTGAGGCTAATCTAGCTGTGCTTGTACCCCTTTGTTCCCCAATCAGTTTGATTCAGTCAGCTTTACTGATTGAAGCTTTTGGTTCATATTCTTGTTTGTTTCATTAAAATATATAAACATAAGCATTACCTTATTTTCAAAGATGCTTGATCCGCATAACCTCACCAGGTAGGCTACTGTTTCTGTTTTTTTGGGGAGTTAAAAAAATGGAGGCCCAGAAGTAAAGCCTATTGCTGAGTCTCACTGCTAGTCAGTGACAGAACTAGGATTTACACCCAGTTCTCAGAAATGGAGAGCTGTGTGGGGTATTGTGGATACAGAGCTGAACCACAGAGGTCTTGTGCAGACTCAGGGAAAGCCCCAGAATCTGAGCTTCCCACAAGCCTGTCCAGGCCAGTGGACTCCAGAGTCCCCATAAGAATCCTACCAACCTCAGAAGCTTATGAGAAGGAGCTGAAACTGCCTCTCGCTTCAATTCCTTAACCATTGCATCTTGTCTTCTTTCTTCTTCTAATCTTTATTGAGATGTCATGGCATTTAGTTTTTGTTATGGAACTTTCTCAAGTTTCTGGGGTTTTTTTAAGGTAAAATTTACATACAGTGAAATACCTTTTAAGTGTATATTTGGTGGGTATTTGTTTTTTAACCATTCCATTTATTTATTAAAATTTTAGTTTCTTCTCTACCTAAGGTCATTGTCCTAAGATAATGACCTTAAATGAATATACCCTACTGCTGCTATATATGCTATATAACAACTTTGCTTTGTTTAAAACTCTTAACTCCAAGAAGTATTCCCTAGTTTTTGGTGCCAAGAGTTTTAGTTAGCAAAGCTGTCTGTTGGTGTCTTTTATCCTGTTCTCTCACAACCACTGACAGAAAATTCCTCATCTTTTTAGATGAGTTTGGTACACCCTTTATTCTTTACATTATTTCTTTTGGATTTGTGACAGCTCTTAGGTTATTTCTAAAATTTGCCAGGTCAGAACCTTGCTCTTGTATTTTAATTATGGGTAGCTTTGTCCTGAGCTAGGAGCTGTGATGGCACAGTGCCTAAGGCATTTAACTGCTAACCAGAGGCTGGAGGGTTAGGCAATCTACTTCCGTAGTGATACTGCCTCGGAAACCCAAGGAAGGGTTGCTGTGAGTTGAGTTTTAGAGTTTTGAGTTGTCTTGAACTAAGGGACTTTAGAAATTCCTGATGTTATCTGAAATATTTTCTTTTCGTGGGTTTTTGTTACATGGAAGCATGAAGAGGGCAAATACTGATTAAAGAGTTAGAAAACCTGAATCCAAACCTGTACCCTACCACTTAATTGAAAAAATAACACCAGGCAAGACATTAATCCTCTCTGTGCTTTAGATTTCTTAGTTCTTCAGACTGGGACATCCATGCTTTTCCTGCCCAACCTGATAACCGGTATTCTGAAGATTAGATTTGTTAATGCTTAAGAGTTCAGTTCAGTCAATGTCTTAGTGCCTCCTGTGTGCCATACTGAGACAGCACTGTAAATTATGCAAATACAAGGTGATGCCACCAGAACTGATTGGTTGGAATTACTCTATGAGTAAAGGTAGCATTTTGTTTCTTCCCAAGATACACAGTCTACATTGAAGTTATCTGCCACTGCCCGCATGGACTCTTAGTGTACTTCAATGACTTCTCTTGAGTGTGTGTATAAATGCTTTCTCCTTTCATATATTTTCACTGTAGACAACTGAGCAAAACTTGGTTTTAATAAGAAATACTATTGTGCCATTTTAAAAGCCAGTTAGCCTGTTTTTTCTGTCTCTACCCAACATTGTTCACCAAATGTGAGCATACTGGACCAGGGTGAGACAGCACTTCAGGTATTTCAGAGTGATGCCTTTGTTGTATCGCCTGCCCCAACACAAGATCACAAGCAGAGATTCCAAGGGACCAAGATTACTTCAGTCTGTTTAGCAGTTGATAAAGTCAAAGCCTTTTATAGATTCTTCTCTGCATAGTTAAGAGTAGAATGTGTCAGAGGGTCAGGAAATGGGAAACTGCATCATCAACTTGAAATTCATTTGAATCTTCCATTTCTAGCTATTGAACCTGTCACAGTCAAGCCTGACATACGGTGGCTGTAGATCTAACTCTTAATCTATCTTGGAAAAAGTCTCAACATTGCTGTTGGAGTTCACCTGTAAAACTTGCAAAAACCTTTGCAAAACTCTTTAACTTCTGCTTTTAGCCTCATTTCAGACTCTAAAAGAGGAAGGGCCTTAAAGCAGCTCACAAAATCAACTCCTCCTGCCCTTCATTGCAGCTGGCTTCTTGGTGATCTCTGTGTGATTGAACATTAATCTGGAGTCCTGACATGTTAGTGGGCAATTCAGCTGCTAGTTTAACAGCGTCAGGTTTTCCTCTCTGACGTCTCTTGTGGGAAGTGCTCATTTAGCTCATTTTGTTTATCCACAGACAGCACATGGCTCTGGGTCTTATACTGCTGTGCAGTTGCCTGTTTAGTATAAAGTAAAAGTTCTTGCCAACAGAGTCTGTCTTCTGAGTCTACAGTCCAGTAAGTGCATCTAGAGGACTTTGCTCCGCAGAAAAGAATGATTCCTCCCTCCCTGTGTGGAAATCTGGGCAACATAGTTCTTACCTTCTGTCACTGTGGTACTGGTCTGCTCTATTAGATACTGGATAAAGGCCTGGCCTTTCTATCCCAGGCCTTTAAACTGCAGGTACTTGTGGTCCTGAAAACTCAGAATCAGCCAGGGAGCTAGAAGTTTTTTCAGGAAAATGTGTCGGGATTGCCAATTGACACTTTGGTTAGGATAGAGGGAGGGTTTATTGGCAGTGCATTGCTTTAGAAAGCGTTTCTATTTTCACTACAATGATGAGCTGCTTGACTGTGTTTGCAGGTAGTCCCCATACGATTTACGACATATTCAAGTTATGGCAAACTGAGCTTACAACCATCTTATTTTTTTTTCCTTTTCTTTGTTTGCACATCTTATTGTTAATAATATGTACTACATATAATGTTAACCCCCAAAGACAAAGAAAGATCAGATTTATAAAGATAGCTAATAATAAAAGGCAATAATAATGAAAACCTAAAAAAGAAAAAAGGTATTTGACTTACATTAGAACCAACTTGTAATAGAGTTATCAGAATGGAACCCATTATAAGTCAGGGACTACCTGTATTTGTAGTACAAGAAGTACTAAATGGTGAAAAGAGGCATGCCTTTAGGGTTTGGGGGACAGAAGCAGGAAGGATTGCTAGAAATGAAGTACAAAGTTAAACAAAAACCTATGACATGAATATTTAAAGTAAATTGGAATATTGTAACATGCCTCAGGTTGAATCAGTTGAGACGTGGAAATCCTGAGAGAGAAATTCTTGAGGGGCATCCAGCAATAAATCTGTTTTGATTTCCTCTTGGGCTAAATAAACATACTGAACTTCTAACACAATTTGACAAAAGCCAATTGAAATACTCATCTATATAAAATCTGCTGCTAGATTTTTTCAGGCATTGGTTTTTAAACTATAGTTTTGACCCACTGGTGGGTCAGGAAATCAGATTTTTTAAAAAGGAAAGAGAATAGAAGATACCAAAGTAAGGGGTGGGTATTATTTTGTGAAACTTTTTTCCTTATAAACGTGTGTATTGAATGGTGATGTTAAATATAATTCTTACAATTTACATTGATTCAAAGTTTACGAAGCCACTGCTTTAGAGCATACAAAGATAATTCAAACTCCTTGCCTTCAAGGAGCTTGAAATAACAGCTTTTCTATACTTGCTATTCAGGATATATTTCTCTTGTGGGTAGCTCAGAATTTTACATTATGGGTGGTAGTTCCAAGCCCTTGTCTGGGCAGTGGTTCCATGTAGTAAATTGCCAGTGGTTATTTTTAAACCCCAGGATCCTTTTAGGGATCTCTGTGTTTACTCAAGATGTAAGTATTAATGTGAAAGGTCATTAATTAAAGTACTTTGACCTTTTCCATAGACTTGGAGCCGTGTCCTTGGTTAGGAAAAATGACTTCTTTAATTAGTGAACTTGGAGTTGCTATAGTTTTCAGCTTTTAGATTGGGATTATGAATGAAAGACTTCCTGTCTAGCATTCTTCATGGTCAATAGCCCTTGCACTTTTTAAACATATGGTACTCCGATTCAAATAGCTTTATTTCCTATTTGGAAGCCTGCTGCATGGCTTCTAAAACTTGCCCATAATGGGATAGATTCAGTGGATTATTTCTTTCTGCATCGCTGCACCTCATCTTTTTATAGCTCTCCTTCAGGAAACATATAATACCTAGTTTAAGCTCAAGAAAAACAGTTTAAATAGGGAAGCAGTTTTAACGGAATTGTCCTTCATTCAAGTAATTGTTGTTCCCTATTCTGAAGCTCCTCTCCCCAGGAGAGTAAAGCTTTATACTTTGATCACCAGAGCAGTCTGTTTTGGGCTTTTATTTGTTATCATGGCTCTCCCAGCCTCCACCAGAGATGCTGCTTACTTTTTTTTCCCCCCTGAATAAAATTCCTGCCCTAAGACTGTATTTTCAAGAAAGAAGATTATTTCAGATATACTGGCATTTAAATGTTGTATATATTAGGTTCGTTTTGACCTTTATTGCTGTCTTAATGACAAAGAAGCCAAATTCGTTGGGCAAATGCAGCCTGATTATACTTGTTTGGGTGCATGTTCTTACAAATGTCGGTGCTTTACTTAGCAGTGCTGGTTCCCTCATTTCTGGGTACTGGTAGTTATTCCATGATCTTGATCTCTCTTTTCAAATTGTGATTTGTGATTTGGATGAAAGTTTACATAGCAAATTCATTTTCCATACAACAGTTCATATACATTTGTTTCATGATATTGACTGCAGTCCCCACAATGTAACAGCTCTCTTCCCACTTCCTCCCTGTGGTTACCTCTTCCCTTTGTCATTCTTTCCTATGTGTTCCTACCCTCTGACCTATGTCCCTGTGCAAATTCCTATCCTTTTGATCTCCCATGGTTGAATCTTCTAAGGAGTGTATCTACTTGGTATAAATGTTCTTCTTACATGCCTGTCTATTGTTTGGCTGGAAGGCATAAGTCCATTTCCAGGCCACAAGGGTTACTAGGGACCATATTCTCAGGAGTTTCACTAGTCGCTGTCAGACCAGTAAGCCTGTCCCCCACCCCCATGATTTTGAGTTTTGTTCCACATTATTCTTCCACTCACTCCAAGATCTCCTATTTTGACTCCTTACCGAGTGGTTGACAGTGGTAGCACCATCATGTTCTTCTGGTCACAAGGTCATGTAGGCTGAGGTTCATATGGTCCTCTGGTCCCTTGGACTGATTGTTTCCATGTGTCTTTGGTTTTCTTCATTCTTCTTTACTCCAGGTGAGGAGAGACCAATTGTTATATCTTAGTTGGCTGCTTGTAAGCTTTTAAGACCCCAGTTGCTACTCACCAAAGTAGGATGTAGAACAATGTTTTTGTGTAATATGTTATGCTAGTTGAGCTTGATGTCAACCGAGACCATGGTCCTGAGCCTGTGGGTCTGGTGACCTATTCCCTAAGTGTGTTTGGCTGTGGCTAAGAAGTGATCATAACCTTGCCCCATTGGTTCTATTATATATATGGACATTCTTATAGCACATACAAATATGTATGCAGAAATAGCATCTGTTAGACTCATATATGGTCATGGGTGTATTCTTTTTTGCCCAGACATACCTGATCATTCAGTCTGTCTACCTTTGTATTCGGGAGCTCTGGTAGCATAGTGCCTAAGGCATTTAACTGCTAACCAGAAGGCTGGCGGTTCAAACCCATCAGCCACTCTTTGGAAGGAAGGTTGGGCAATCTGCTTCCATAGTGATACCACCTCAGAAACTCAAGGAGGGGTCACTATGAGTCAGATCCGACTCAACAGCACATAACAACACCAACACCACCAACAACAACATGTATGTATTCACCTGTAGATTAATGTTTGTTATTACTGGTAATGCAATATCGTGCATGTAAAACTGTTTATCTTTGTTGTCTGTACCTCTTGTATACCTCTCTGTGTCTTCCTGTTCCTTCGTGTTATTGTGTTGGTTACTCACTTTGAGTTCCATGATCTCTTACTTGCGATTCTTAAATCTAAAAAGATCTGAAAACCTAAAGGTTTTCTTAATTTAGTGACTGGACCTGTTTTGAGTTAACATGAGGCTGTTTATTATCTTTATTCATCCCACTTACAGTGAATTATCCATACATTTCACTGAAGAAACATGAATATTTGATTAAGGAAGTCCCTGTTGAGAGTGTTCATCTGATATGATGTGGTATGCACCATTTTACCTTATTGAGATCCAAAAAACTTGAGTTCTGAAATCTAGCTGAAGGGTTTCAGATGCGGGGTTGTGGATCTATATTACTATTTATAGCAAACTTGTTACTGATTTTATTTATTGGTCTGAGTGTGGAAGTAGGAAAATAACCAGTGTAGTGACAAGAGAATTGGTTTTGGGGCCACACAGACCTGGTCATAATCACCTCTCTCAGTCTCAGTTTTGTCCTCTGTGACATGAGTCAGTGATGCTGCTCTCAGAGTTGATAATGGGCATTAGATAACGTAATTTTTGATCAAAATTAGTTTCCTTCTGCTTTCTGCTTTGTAGTCTTAACCTGACAGGGATTTTTTTTTTTTTTAAAGCTAAATATGTGTTATTTTATTGTCTATACAATATCTGCCTTTTAAGAATAATAGAGTTAACTGTGCTTTTATTCAGCCTGTTTTGCAAAATGGTACACAATTCTTCCTTTCTGCTGTCTGTCTCTGGCCTCTAGGGGAGCACGTAACGTCAAGGTTTAAAAATGAAGTGGAGCGGATGGGTTTTGATATGAACAATGCCTGGAGAATCTCCAACATCAATGAGAAGTACAAGTGAGTTGTCCAGGTCCCTGTGGACTGTTTCACAGACAGTGCCTTTGTAGAAGCACCAGCTCTCATGTGGCAGAACATTTGAACTTAGATTTTTTCTTACAGTTGGAGTTTTATTTATTAAGTCTAAATGCATAATCTTCTGAGTACTTCTTGAACCTGTTATTCCCATTCCTGTTACTGGAGTGGAAAGTAATCCTTATTTAACAGGATGCTGGGAACCAGGCCCATTTCCCTGGTCTCTGTTCTTCCTGGCGTAAATATGTCTAGGTGATACTGTGTTTACCTGTGGGCAAGCAGTTTTCATTGTTCTGATCGCCACTTGGCATCACATTTGAGATATGATCAGTGATCTATCAGAGAAAAAGCATACAGCACCAGTTCTTAGGACTAATTTTACTCCAGATCCTATGAAGTAGGCATAAATATTGCTCTGTTCTTTAATGGGTTTGATCTGAAATTAAGTTCATAGTTATGACCATTTAATCATTAAATATTAGTCATTATTAAATAGTAAATATTACCTATTTTCTTAAAAAGTATAAATACTTTGGTGGAGAAAGGCAGTTAACGAATGTGATTTGGGCGGTCCAAGTTTCTTTCTATAAAACAAAATTGTCAAGGAGATTTAAATTGATACATCCTTCTCCTTTTAAATTTCCTTGCAGCATTTGGAGGCATGAATTATTCTGTTGGCCTTTGAGTTGCCTCAAATTATGTTAGCCTTTTTCCTGGTCTGTTTGTGGCTAGCCCTCAGAACGTTTCATTTTTTTATTGGAAAAACTACAACTGATTACTGTTGATGGCCCTTAACATGGCTCTTGGCCCAAGAAGCTGAGAACACGGGAAGTTCTGAAGACTTGGGAGCTACAGACCAGTCGTCATACCTTTGCTCACTTTTCAGTGAGCAAAGCAGAGGATGGGATGGAACAAACTAGGGGAGGGGCCTCTGAGATCTTGAGGCTCCAGAGGCTTTGCTGCTATGTAACCCACCTTTCTTAACTGGAAACTGCATGAACATAATGATGAACGTAATGATTAGAAAATCACATGGAGTCAAAAAACTGAAGCTTATTGGAAAAATATTTGAGTTCAGAAACCATTGTTTTTCAAAATCCCTAATTCATAGAGATTTGAAAACTTCTTGTCTTGGAGTCTGTAGTTCCACCTCAAAACAAGACTTCAGGACACTGAAAAATTCTTCCCACTACAAGGGAAGAATGAGAGAAAAATTTGTTCTTAGCTTAAAATAAGATAAAAGGAATGAGACTTACTTTTAGAGTATTAACCATGATCATTGTGTCCCAGGTTATTTTTGTTGTTGTTGTTGTTATGTGCCATCGAGTCAGCCCTGACTCATAGTGACCCCTCCTTGGGTTTCCGAGGCAGTATCACTACGGAAGTAGGATTGCCCAACCTTCCTTCCGAGGAGTGGCTGATGGGTTTGAACCGCCAACCATCTGGTGAGCAGTCAAGTGCCTTAACCCCTATGCTACCAGAGCTCCCAGGTTATTTTTAGGAGTTTGTAAATAGGTTTTGGGAAGTTTTAGGAAGCTACTCTTGGTCCTGGTTCAGTGACTTTTGAATTCCTGACACTTAATCGTGCGGAAATTAAGAACAAGAGGCACACCCATAGTGAAGAATGATTTAAAAAACAAAGCAAAACAAAAAAACCCCACCCCGATTCCTAAGGCAATTCATGTATTTCTGCCTCTTCCCTAATGTATGGCATGGCCTAGAGGAGGGAGGTGGTGGTGTATGCTTTAGGATATGAATTAAAGGCCTTACTACCTTCACTGCTGAAACGGATTAGGTTACCTGTAGAGAGACATTGTTCTGTAAATAAAAAACCCGCCAGAAATACTGCTTTCCGGGGCACCAGCTTGACTAGCACACAGCTGCCATCTTCCCTAATTAAAAAAGAGCTTTTATTCTGTGTATAGTCTGTTCTGAAGTATGCTTGATAGAAATTATGGTAGACAGCTTTTTTGAATTACTATCTTGGCTCATTGGGACTGTGATTGTGTATGTGGTGGGCTGACCTGTGATATTGTTTCCACATACCCATGGCTTCATCTGGTACCTGTAATGAGGATGCCTTGTTTAGTTCATATCCTGAAAACTTGAAATTGTGGGCTCTTGCACTTCTTTCCATGTTTCTTTTTGACAAAAGCCTGAAAGGCTGAGTGTCTAGTAGAGGTTACACAGACTCAAACTTCTGTAATTGGACTAGGCACTTGTGTAGTTAGAGATGACCTAAAAGGATTTATCATAACAGAGTTACAATGAAGACCAAAGAGACTTCCCCTCAACTCCCCTTTTTCCGTTGATTGTTAAGCTTGCCGAATTCCCAAAAGGCAACATCAAGTGGAACATCGAAGATTCTATCACTTGATAGATGCATAAATAAAATGTAAGACAGCCCGTCCTGTTAAAGGGGCCAAGATTCAAGTAAGATTCTTCATTGCCTTTTAACGTGCTCTGTAGTAGCTTGATCAACATCTTTATATTGACTCACGTAGTGTCTTCCCCCACTTCTTTTCTCCTTCCCTTCTTTCCTTTTCTTTCTCACGCTAATCTCTCTTTCTTTCTCCCCCTTCCTCCTCTTTCCTGGTAGGCTGTGTGGCAGCTACCCACAGGAACTCATAGTGCCTGCCTGGATCACTGACAAAGAACTAGAAAGTGTAGCCAGCTTCAGGTCATGGAAGCGCATCCCTGCTGTCGTCTACAGGTAAGTAAGCCTGGTCATGCCTCTGCTACTGTTAACCTAGGAAGGGGAAGGGAGGATTCAGAGAGGCTCCTAGGCAAGCCTGTGCTTCCTTATTTCAAACGCTGCTCCTCCAGTAACACAGGTACTCAATGCATCTAGAAAACTAGAAGTTTTGGAGGTAGGATGAAAAAGATGAACGGAAGTTTGCAGCAAGGTAGATAAAGGATCATGTTCAAAAAGCAGTACCCTAAAAGATTGGAACATGTTTAAGTCTTGGGAGGAAGAATGGGGATTTTTATCCCAACTCAGCCCAGCTGTGACTTTGAACAAATTGCTTCAGCTTGCCAAGCTGTGGTTCGAATGAACATTTTTAATCATGTGGAATGTGTGAAACCTCTTTAAAAATTGTTCTACTTTTTGTGGTATCATGTGGTGCCATAGAGTATAAGGATGTTGATTTCTCATGGTCAGGTAGCATTTATCAGAGACCACTTCTTACGGAGGAGCAGAGTTTAGACCTTGGCTTTAATGGAAAGATGGGGTGTTAATTAGCAATTAGCTGTGTGATTGAGGAGATGGCAAATACAAAGGCGGAGTGGCAAGAGCAGATGGACCCTGTTCCAGGGAAAGCCCACCCGTGTGCTTGTTGGAGTGTGGATTCTCTGATTCGGGGAAGCATCTGACCCCCATTGGGTTTTTAGGGCTCTAAATCTTGACAGAAGCAGATTGTTTCATCTTTCTTCCATGAAGTGGCTGGCGGGTTCGAACCACTGACCTCTTGTTTAGCAGCCAAATGCCTTAACCACTGTACCATCAGAGCTTCTTATCAGATGTCTAGAAAGATGGAAATTTGCCGTTGTTTTGGGGAAGCCTGGCATTCACTTTCCTGTATAGGAGTCATTGTTAAGGGAAATGATTTTCAGGATAATTGCCCTGTCTAGAAGGAGAGAGATTAGAAGCAGAGACCCACTGGCAGTCCAGATGTGAGGCCATGAGGATTTTATTATGGGAATCAGACCCTACAGTTAAGGAGATAAGAATTAACAAAAGGAAACTCCAAGATAGGAACTTTGGGACACCAGTAAAAACATTTAGAAAAGTGACTGGACTTGGCTGTTTCAGGATCCTTCTGGCATGCTGAAAGAAGATGATGTCATAGCATTTAGCTCTGCTGCTAGCAGGGGCTTTGGATTGAGAGAGTTGGGAACATAGGGTCAGGTTGTCTGTGACTGCCTTTGTGTTTGAGATTCCAACCGTAGAAGCAGTTTGGAGAGGGATCATCCAGAGAGGGAGGCTGGGGCTTGGCTGGACAGAACATCTCAAAGCCAAGAGACAGGAAAGACAAGAAAGATAAGTTTCTGGAAGAGGGGGTGGTGTGTGATGGGCAGCACAGGGTTTGGAGTCACAGACCTGGGTCAAGTCGTCTGTGGCGTTCCTTGCTATGACACCTTTAGTAAGTCCCCAGACCGACCTCATTCTGTTTCCTAATTAGGAAAGTGGGAACAGTAGTTCTTTCTTTGTAGATATGCATCTAAATGAATACCTATAATCTGGTATACTATAATCTCATATGCTATAATGCCTATAATCTCATATACTTAGTCGAAAAACAAGGCTCCAGACTTTACTAAGTTACATCTTGATTAGGCTACTTTTATAATCCAGTGAAATCTCCATTTTTACAAAATCACATTAAATTTTTAAGATGTTGTTCTTTTATTCTGGACATTCTAGTTTAGATGTCATCTCCTTATAATGTTCACATGTTCCCAGTTGGCTGACTTTTTGGATTCCATAAGCTTAGGCCAAACTTGTAGCTTAATCAGAAACTGTTTCTGCCAGGAGCGATTCCACTGAAATACTGAGATTGTGTGCAGGCAAGGGATTTATCTCCTTGCGGAATTCCCACTGAGGTAACCAGCTCATTCTTTTCAGTTCACTGAAAGCAAATCTTGGTAGCCTCCCTGAATAGTCTCAGTTTTCATGACTTGTGTTTTCTTGACACCCCTGGAAAAGTAGGTCGGCAAATTTACCTGTCACTCACGTGGTAAATTAGAGAGCAGTCAAAGCCGAAGGGGCCTATCAGTGATCAGCCAGCTGCAGCTCAGTGGCCAGCAGCTGTGTTAGGTCAGCAGCCCCGGCAGGAAGCATTTGAGGGGCTTGCTGACTGAGCCTAAGGCAGAAGGACTGTCACTTTCAAAGAGCTTTTAGGTGAATTCTGTTCTTGGCAGAGAAGCCTAAGAATGCAGGTTGAAGAAAAACTTGTTATAATGTAATAAAAATGGACAGCTCTTATTCTCTGCTAAAAATTATGTTCTCAGGAAGGGCATGAGCCATAGATACCCTCTCTCCCCATTTCTAGAGTACATATAAATGAAAAAAAATTTTGCAATTTCTGAGAGATAGTCTGCTCTCCAAAGTTTACAAATGAAAGTGTTTCATCTAGTCCATGTAAAGATCAGACAGGCTTATTGGAATTGGCCTGTGTCTCAGAACATGTGCCATGTATTTCTGAACTTCAAACTGTTGCTATATCATTTGGGAGCTTTATACGGGATATGTTTGGGTTTTGTCCTGTTCTCCAAAACAAGGACACTCTACCAGTCTGTGCTGTGCCTGCCTTGGTGGCAGGATGCCCCCGAATCTGAGTGAATTTACTGAATTTAGTTATCTGCAGACGGCAGTAATGGTTCCTGAGGTTGCTGGCGGCAGTGACATGACAGCACCATGCTGAACCAGCCCCTGATTAGTGCTTTCTCCTACTGTGATGAGAGAGCACTAAATTGGATTTATTATTGAAGGCAGAGATTGCTCTAACACAGCAAGATGGTGAGAAGGGCGCCCATCTGTAGTGCAATTCACAGCTCCCCCTTTCTGTATTGGGTGATTATTAGAAACTCCTAGTCATTTAGGGAGCTTGCCTAACTGGCTGAGTTGGGGACAGTTAACACAGTTCTGTGTTTCTATATAAAACTGCAGCATTCAGTGTTCTAGCAGGGGGCTCATTCACTGAACATCTTAATTGTTGTACTCTTTGCTGGTTCTGTTTGTTAGAATGACAGCAACGCTTTTCCTTTTGGGTTGTAGTTTTTTAGTTAACCATCTTCCATTCAGGAGCCCTAGTGGTACAGTAGTTAAAGTACTCGGCTGCTAACCAGAAGGTCGACAGTTTGAACCCAGCAGCTGCTCCATGATAGAAAGATGTGGCAGTCTGCGCTTGTTAAGATTTATATCCTTGGAAACCCTCTGGGGAAGTTCTGCTGTGTCCTGTAAGGTCGTTAGGTATCAGAATTGACTTGACTGCAGTGGTTTGGTTTTGGTTTCGTTTGGTTTTGGTTTCGTTTGCTTTATTGGTTTCTCTGTAAAATACAAAGAGCTGTGATGACGCAGTGGTTAGGTGCTTGGCCACTAACCTATAGATGCTTGGAACCCACGAGCTGCTCTGTGAAAGAAAGATGAGCCTATCTGCTTTCATAAAGATTATAGCCTTGGATACCTTATAGGGCAGTTCTACTCTGTAATATATGGTGTCTACAATTCAGAATTGGTACTACAGCATGTAACATGATACCAGTGGCCCTTAAAATCTAAGACCCAGGCTGAAGGGTGCCATCTACTGTTCCTCTTGGGCATTGCTGGGAACCGTTGCACAGAAAGAGGATACATGGGAGGACTTCCCAGTCTCTTCTGTGAAGGTGTAGGTCAGCAGCCCTGGCAGGAAGCATTTGTGGGGCTTGCTGACTTTGAGCCTCAGGCAGACAGACTCTCATTTTCAAAAAGGTGAATTCTGCTCTTGGCAGAGAAGCCTAAGAGTGCAGGTTGAAGAAAAACTTGTTACAATGTAATAGAAATGGATAGCTCTTATTCCCTGCTAAAAATTATGTTCTCAGGAAGGGCATAAACCATAGCACATGTGGTCACCCAGCACCTATTATATGTGAGTAGGCATATTAAGAATCAATGAGGTTTTATTGCCAGTTTAGCTCCTTGTCTCTCCCAATGAGAGAAACTTGTAAAACTACAGGCAAGCTGATAGCACCAATAGAATTTGATAATTGCTAAATTTAATTTATTGCTTATGAGCTTTAGGATTAAGAATAAACATCTTTCTCACATTATTCCTTGAACATCTATGCAATACATGCATCTGCAATACAAGCTGCACTGAAGGCACTGATGGAAAACAAGGCTCTAGGTACCAACTGAGAGGTTTCAACAAATGGATGCAGTACTGGAAGTGTTCACTCATCTATTCCAGGATATTTGGGAGATGGCTACCGGGCCAGCTAACTAGAAGAGGTCCATATTTGTGCCCATTCCAAAGAAAGGGGGTCCAACTGAATGTGGCAGTTATCAAACAGTATCATTAATATCATATGCAAGTAAAGTTTTGCTGAAAGTAATTCAAAACAGGTTGCAGCAGTACATAGACAGGGAGCTCCCAGAAATTCAAGCTGAATTCAGAAGAGGATGTGGAATGAGGGATATCATTTCTGATATCAGATGGATTTTGGCTAAAAGCAAAGAATACCAGAAAGATGTTCACTGTGTTCTATAGACTTTGCAAAGGCATTTAGCTGTATAGATCATAAAAAAAATTATAGGTAATACTGAGAAGAATGGGAATTCCTTAACACTTAATTGTGCTCATGTGGAAATTGAACATAGACCAAGAGGCAGTTGTTCAAACAGAACAAGGGCATACTACATGGTTTAAGATCAGGAAAGGTATGCGTCAGGGTTGTATTCTTTCACCATACTTACACAGTCCTTATCCTGAACAAATAATCCAAGAAGCTGGACTATATAAAGAAGAATGCAGCATCAGGCTTGTAGAAAGACTCTTTTAACAATCTGTGATGTACAGATGATACAATCTTGCTTGCTGATTTTGAAGAGGACTTGGAGCACTTACTGATGAAGATCAAAGACTAGTCTTCAGTATGGATTACACTTCAACATAAAGAAAACAAAAATTCTCAGAACTAGACCAGTAAGCAACATCATCATAAATGGCAAAA